TAGGACATCCCTTTTCAGGGGCACCAGACTTTAGATTTTTCCACTATCTCAAGAACTCCTGGGGGCTCCAACAGCCATGGTGGCAGAACATGCCTCCTTGTATTTATCCTCAACCAGATGATTTATATCCCATTACATTGGGCACACATCTGGTCACAATAACCTCCAGGCTTGATTGAAAATGTTGGCTAAGAACGCTCCTATGTGATGCAACACACAGGTACCCATCTGCTCAGCAACACAGCTCACTGAATAATCACCCCTATGCTCCGCTCTCTACACTTGTTCCCCACAGAAAGGGATTTCTGGTCAAGCAGTCCTTGAAATCCTGCAGGGGATTAGCCCTGGCTTCCTGAGAGGCCGCTATTCCCAGAATCTCCCACAATTGCTACATCTCACTGAAAGATCAAGTTGCAAACAAAAGACTCATGAGTGCTGGAGGCAGAAGAGTCTCAGGAGCGAGGCTTAGACCGTGAATGATGGGAGAAATCAGGGAGAAATAGGAGTAACGCTAGAAATCGGCTCCTTGAAATCAGAGGAAGAGTTTTGCCACTCACATCAGGGAGAAACAGGAGTAACGCTAGAAATCGGCTCCTTGAAATCAGAGGAAGAGTTTTGCATTTAGATCCTGCACACAGACCTCCCACTGCCGAAATCCTTCTCAAGAAGAGGAGAAATGACTTAAACTAACCAAGCTCGTTTCTAGCCTGGCAAAGATGGGAGACTGTGGAGAAATGACAAACTAACCAAGCTCGCTTCTAGCCTGGCAAAGATGGGAGACTGTTGTTATTTCTATTTTTAACTACTTGGCAGACAGAAGGAACCATATAAATTTATTGTCTAGGAGTTGCGCATCTCGGCAGACAGCGACAGGGCCCTCGGTTATATGTGCTACTGTCATCTTCTCTCTGCACTGCAGCAATGCAACTCCCCAGGGCACGAAGCCCTGAGTTCTTAGGAAACCCCAGCAAATACAGAGCACTGCCGCATCACACCTCAGCATCATGGGCTAGCGCAATCTCATCAAGACCAGCCTCCGTTCTCCACACTGACTTCCCGTAGAACACTATGCCACAGTCAAGGTCTCCGTCCTCTTCAAGGTGTTCAGTAGCCTGGGACCAGTGTGCCCAGTTGATTATTTGAGAAGGCTAACCGACTGTGGCAAAGAGCTCTATTCCTCTAGTACAACAGAATTTTCTGCCAGAAGGAAAAAGGTCCTCTGTGCAGCAGGGCTAGTCTAAGACTGGAATCAACTCTCACACAACTAAGGACCATCCTGAACTTCACCACCACCTTCCTACTTACAGCCAAGACCCAACTGGAGCTGCCTTCTGACGGAGCAGCATGCACACTTCAAAGCCCCTATCTAACAAAAGCATTCCACTGCATACAGAGCTCTGTCCTTGCAAGACGAGGGAGACACCAAACCACAGCTTGCAGTTGTAGTCACATTGCTTAGTGCAGGACTGAAAGCATTCAGATACCACAGTGACCAGCACGGAATTAGAACCTACACAGAACATAACGATCTAGATACATTAGTTCCACACTACAAGCGTATAGAACATGAATGGCTAAAATTGCACTACCCATTAATATAAAAGCATTCTGTTAAAAACATTTTTACTTCCACAACCCATCTATTGTACTGATCTTGTCAGATACGCAACCAACAAGTTAGGCGCACGTCATGGGTTCCTGCTGTTCTATTCACCTCCCATCTACTAAGTCCAACGATCCAGCTGCAATTCCTTTCAATAGGCTTCAAAAAGTTCTCACAACGGTCACCAGTTATGAGGTTTATAAGCAAGTCCTTACTGACTTTTGACTTTCCAATGGGATGTGAACGCAAACCATTTAGGCACTGCTGAAAAGCCCATCTCGCATACCTGAGACCAAAGGAAAGTAGTAGGGATGAGACAGCAAGTACAAATGTGTGTTACCACTGTGCTATCAGCTTTTCTTAATTTAAAAACATTGAGTTGTATTGCTCTAGTTTGGTAAATCAAGGACACTGACAGTAAACTGCATTTGTTATGTAGAAGCATGAATGTATATTGTGCAGTTATCCTTTAATATCCTGTCTATGGTATTGTAGCAAAAAGTGTACCTAATTACTCACAGAATGAGATAAAGTGGCTCTCGGTGCAGCTAGCATAATATTGAAAGATAAGCCTCAGTGCAAAGTGCTCATTTGAAGACAGCAGAAGCTGTGTGACATGAATTGTGCAATTAGCCTTTCCCCAGATGAGTCTGAGAATTATGGGGAAGAGGGGGGGTGACTGTAGCAAAACACAAGGCTAGCAACAGCCAGAAGTACTGGAGGTAGCATTCAGCTCCGGAGAGTTAACAGGGGATGGAAGGAATCCTTTGCTCAACACAGAAGCAAAGCCATCACTGATGGTTCCCACAGAATTGCTGTCCAACCCTCATTGGCTGGGAAACTTGTTCCATCAAATGCAGAAGAGCTGCAAGAGACTGTGTACGCATCAGAAGTGAAAGGAAAGATGTCAGGTTTTACAAAAAAAGACAAAAGGAATTAATGAAAAAAAGTGCAGTAGTACATGTGCTGTTACTTGGGTAAGGCATTGCAGTAAGACAGAAGTTTGACGTGCAACTATTTTTCACAAAGTTAAATTGATATATGCACAACTGCCTGTTTTATGTGCCGAGATATTTAATTAAAAACAATTCTAGCTTTATTTTCCATTGGAACTATTAAATAAAAAAGCAAATATCAAAGTGGCTATTTAATATGAAAAAAAAAAAAAATTGGCAGTTTAAGTGGGTTTTGAACTGGAATACAAAAGAGACTGGTCATCCAAAATCCCCATCTACCATTCCTCAAAAATGTACAAGACGGGTAGCCTCACCTTTACATTGTAAGAAAATATATACACATTAATTACAGTAAGTAAAAAACAATATATTTCATATTTTAAACTTTACACAATGTGGGAATACAAACATTAATAAAATTATGTACAACAATATTCAAAGAACAACAATCTGACACTAAGGGAAGTTAAACATTAATAAAATTATGTACAATAACATTCACAGAACAACAATCTGACACTAAGGGAAGTATTTATATAGGACAAAGTGTCGAAAGAACAGCCCCCTACCCTGTATTACCACTGTAATGTTCAGTCTTAAATAGTTCTAACACCAAACAAACAAATACCCTTGAGGTAGATTTCGCCAAATTCTGGTGACGTTAAATTTTTTAGTTTGTTTTTACTAATGCCATCAGCACGACCTTATTCTAACATATGCAGATCGGTTTCACTTTGTGAAAGGCACCAAGGAACAGTGGCTTTCAGCTTTATTAATAAATTCACACACTAACACTTGAAATGGAGGACGAGAAACAATCACTTAAAAGCAATTATACAGCGAGTGTCAAAAGCAAATAAAATCAGGCAAGGATATTTTTATCTTCATCATAGGTTACTACACAATTCTCCATTAGTTTCTTCTACAGAATATATCCACGCATGTGGGAGCTTTTCTTAAACTTGAGTCTTTTTTGCCATTTTTGTCTGGGAAAGA